TAGAAAAACACTATATAAGAACCAATCCATTTATCATTTACAATTCCATTTACAGAATTACAGTCGAAATGCCAAACTCAGGAGGTTTTACAAGATCCTGTCCACTAACAGTGATGGAAAGAAAGAATTCATCTCTACTATGGAAGGTAACATGTATTAACTACCCTGTAGTTTCCATGCCATTCATTACATAATGGATTCTATTCTGCTGTCTTAAACACACAAAAAAATTTATCTGAATTTGAGGTCAGCATGAAATTTGGCATAACTATCCACCAGATGGCAGCACCACTGTACAACTCGAAACCTTGGATCAGTCCAACAGGAAAACTCTCTGATGACAGTCACTCATATTTTTCTTGTTTTAAATATAATTGATCACTCCATGATTCAGTGGTTTCCAAAGTGGGGGGTGCAGAGCTGTGGGGTGGGCAGATATTCTTGTAAAACAGGGGGGCCTAGCTAGCAAAAAAAAGCTGGGGAACCACTGCCGTAACTTGTTTTTAGGAAAACAACATTGGAATTAAATTTGCTGTGACATATTTTGTGTTGATGAACCTATTTTTTAAAAGTTTGTGCTGATGACAATGATTTGAAATAACAATATTAATAATGTCTCTTGTTTTCAGCCAACCATTACCCATTTTATGCTGTGCAATGGCATCCAGAGAAAAGTCCTTTTGAGTGGGTAGATAAGCCAGGAATGATTCATTCTGTTTCCGCTGTAAGGGCCAGCTTCTACACTGCCAGCTTCTTTGTTTCTGAAGGTAACACAAAGTCTGTCCAATCAAAGTCCAGCCTGTAGATATTAGGACAATCACGTATTTTGTTTTTAATAATTTGGCCTCTACACATCACTATAGTAGACTTGAAAATGAAATAATCAGGATTTGATTCAATTCAATTTTATTTAAAGTATACAGCACAAAATCACAACTAGAGTTTACTCAAGGAACTTGCTGTAATATTGTAAGGTAAAGACAATAATGGAGAGAAACCTAACAATCAGACAACCCCCCCTATGAGCAAGCACTTTGGCAACAGCGGGAAGGAAAAACTCCCCTTTTAACAGGAAGAAACCACTGGCAGAACTAGGCTCAGTCATCTGCCACAACGTTGGGGGTGAGTGGAGGGAGACAAGACAAAAAAACATGCTTTGGAAGAAAGCCAGAGAATAATAATAACTAATAATTAAATGCAGAGTGGTGTATAAACACATGGTGAATGAAAAAGGGGGTGAGAGAAGGAGAAATGCTCTGTGCATCATGGGAAGCCTAGGTCTTATTGCAGCACAACTAAGGGTAGCTTCAGGGTCACCTCATCCAGCGCTAACTATAAGCGTTGTCAAAAAAGAAAGTTTTAACCCTAATCTTAAAAGTAGAGAGGGTGTCTATCTCCCAAATTCAAGCTGGGAGCTGGTTGAGACAGAAGAGGGGCCTGAAAGCTGAAGGCTGTACCTCCCATTCTGCTTTTAAATATCCTAGGAACCATAAGTAAGCCTGCAGACTGAGAGGGAAGTGCTTTACTGGGGGGATATTGTACTATAAGGTCTTTAAGATAAGATGGGGCATGATTATACAAGACCTTGTATGTGAGAAGAAGGATTTTAACAGGGAGCCAGTGAAGAGAAGCCAATCTAAGAGAAATATGTTCTCTTGCCAATCCCTGTCAGTACTCTCGCTGCAGCATTTTGATTAACTGAAGGCTTTTCAGGGAGTTTTCAGGACATCCTGATAATAAAGAATTACAGTAGTCCAGCTTGAAAGTAGCAAATGCATGAACAAGTTTTTCTCTGC